AATACCCATGTGCTGGAGTCACTGTAGCTGAGAATTATAGCCTGACCACAGAACAGACACTTTAGAAGCTGTGAGAATCCCAGGGGATAGGAAATCTTTGTTGAATATATAAACCTCTTTCAGACCATGGATCGAGGAGGAAAGCCTTAAACTTGAAGGCTTAAAATGGGGAAATCTCACCAGTACACAATGCAAGAGGACCAAGCCTTTGCAGCCCCAAGGAGGGATTCAACCAGCCAGCTAGGTGAGTCACCCAACATCACAAAGGACTGATGCTGGGCTTCATAAATAATAGTTTGGAGAACATATGTATGGCTGACATCCTGTGGAAAAACCTCCAGCTCTTCTCAACCCTCTTCTCTCCCGCTGCCTCCCCAGAGAGGCTAGTAATTCAGATTCTCACTGTCCTAACCTTTTTTTCTTTTCTTTTCTTTTCTTTTCTTTTTTCTTTCTTTTTTTTTTTTTTGAGACGGAGTCTCGCTCTGTCGCCCAGGCTGGAGTGCAGTGGCCGGATCTCAGCTCACTGCAAGCTCCGCCTCCTGGGTTCACGCCATTCTCCTGCCTCAGCCTCCCAAGTAGCTGGGGTTACAGGCGCACGCCACCATGCCCAGCTAATTTTTTCGAACTTTTAGTAGAGACGGGGTTTCACCGTGTTAGCCAGGAGGATCTCCATCCCCTGACCTCGTGATACACCCGCCTCGGCCTCCCAAAGTGCCGGGATTACAGGCGTGAGCCACCACGCCCAGCCTCTAACCTGTTTTTCATGGGTGGCCTTGGGATCTAGCTGTAGCCGTTGAGACATAAAAGGAAGTATATGGGACTCTGAGAGGATTTTCTTCCTTGAGGAAAAGGAAGAAGGGCTTCTACATGTGGCTCCTTTCCACTTCCCCCTGCCTTTGCACAAGGGTGGGATGTCTGGGGCTGCAGCAGCCATCTGTGACCATGAGACAACAAACTTGATGATGAAATGACAACATGCACAAAGCACTGAAACACGCAACCACTTTCTATATGTGAGATATTTGACCCAACTAACAAGAATGGAACCTTGCCTTGATCTAACACAGGGTCTAGGCCCGAGGAGTTTAGACTTTGCCTAGAGATACTAGATTTATGCAAAGATGCTCTAGGAGCAATGTTATCATCCAATATGATATAGACCTCACATACAGAGACTGCAAACCTGCCCGAACACATGAGCATATTCATTCCTGTGCAAGTTAGGGGCCAAACTCCAAGGAACAGTTGGGGTTCTTTCCCTGGCTCTAACAGCAGCAAGGGGTAAACAGCAACAAACTTGCTTTATGATAACTAAAAATCTATGTCAGCACCCGACTGGAGGATTCTCAATGTCATACTGGCTGTTCAGCAAAAGTTCTCTTTAAAATACTGACTGAAAGATAAATGTATCTGTTTGTGTTACCAAAGTAAAAATACATGAGAAAAGGACATGCATTCTGGCCAAGTGAACACCATCTGTAAGTAGTGAAGGCTGAGAAACCTTTTTTTATATGTCAATTATTTTTAAAGTTTCCTATGGCTGCTGTTACAAATTACCACAAATTTAGTGGCTTAAAACAGTACAAATATATTTTTTTAAGTAAAGCAAATTTACTTAAATTTAAACAATACTTAAATGTATTGTTTTACCATTTTGGAGGTCAGAAGTTCGAAATGAGTCTTTCCTAGTGAAAATCAAGATGTCAGCAAGGCCGCATTCTTTCTGGAGGCTCTAAGGGAGAATCTATTTCCTTACCTTTTCTAGTTTCCAGAGACCACCTGCATTCCTTGGTTCATGGTCCCCTTCCTCCATCTTAAAACTAGCAGCATAGCATCTCCAAATCTTTCTCTGACTTTGATATTGACTCTTCTGCCTCTGTCTTTCAGTTATAAGAACTCTTGTGGCCGGATGCAGTGACTCACGCCTGTAATCCCAGCACTTTGGGAGGCCGAGGCAGGCGGATCACCTAAGGTCAAGAGTTCAAGACCAGCCTGGGAAACCCTGTCTTTACTAAAAATACAAAAATTAGCTGGGTGTGGTGGCGGGTGCCTGTAATCCCACGTACTCAGGAGGCTGAGGCAGGAGAATCACTTGAACCCAGGAGGTGGAGGTTGCAATGAGCCGAGATTGCGCCACCAGACTCCAGCCTGGGTGACAAGAGTGAGGCTCTGTCTGAAAGAAAAAAAAAAAAAAACTCTTATGATTACATTGGACCCACCTGTACAATCTAGGCTACTTTCCCCATCTCGGAGTTTACTTATTAACAATCTTACTTCCCTCTACAACTTTAATTACCCCTTACCAGGTAACCTAATATATTCACAAGTCTCAGAATTAGGATGTGGACATTTTGGGGAGGCATTATTTTACCTACCACACCTATAATTTCACTAACCAGGAATAACCACAGTTAATATTTTAGTAAACAATTCTTCTCAGACCGTTTTCTATGCATGTGCATATAGAGATATACCTATATACATCTCTACAGATATATAGATTTGTAAAAATTAGATATTAATTGAATACTATACATTTCTTTTCAACTTGCTTTTCCCACTTTATACATATGTATGTGTATGTACATGTAAATTTCTACCCATTATTCTTAATAGGTACCCCTATTATTACTTTATCATCAGTGTTTAAGTATCTACTATGTGCTCACTTAATTTAACCCTTTGAACAATCCTATGAACTGAGAACTCCTATCACCGTCACCACCCCTTTAGAGCTGGGACACTGGCAGCATGAGCTGGGCGGCTGTCTCAGGAGATAACTCAATCCAATCAGTAGTGGAATGCATTTAAATCCACCAGAACCCAAGCTCTTAACCACATGGTGGATTGCCTCCTAGATTGTTCCACTGCATGGATGTCCCATAAATTACTTAACAACAGTGTCCTCCTGTAGATCATTTGGGCTATTTTTCACTATTCAAAACAGGACTGCAATAAATGAGTTCACACCTATGTCCATGGACTAACCTGTGGTTATTTCTTTAAGAACAGTTCTTAGAAGAATTACTGTATGCCAAGGCTCCTTATACAAATTTCCAAATTGTCCTTCAGATAGTATGTATATTCCCAGTATCGATATTTTGAAGTATTATTCTTTTTAATCTTAATATTATGAGGAAATAAGAGTATTATTTTTCTTTGAATGCTATTGAGGATAAATGTTCTTTCAATATGTTTCTTGGAATTTTTTCCTTTTATTAAGTGCTGATTCATGTTGTTTGCCTAGTTTTCTATTTCAGAATTAATAAAGTTTCTTTTGAAAAATTATGGTTGAATTTTACACAGGGCATCCCACATAAAAGGAACCATGAGACAAGGTAGAAGCTGATCGTTTTTCACAAAACATTTAATTTGTAAAAATTAAATATTAATTGAATACATTTCTTTTTCAACTTGCTTTTCCCACTTTATACATATGTATGTGTATGTACATGTAACTTTCTTACAAAGTTCAGGGAAAAAGAAACTATTAGAGACATGAAGGGAAATAGAGAAATGTAAAAATTCAGAAAACCTCTAACAAATCCAGTAAGTGGGGAGGACACAAAATGCCCCCTTAAGATTAGCCTTTATTCATAGATAATGGAGAGCAATGTGATCCAAACGAGGTGATGAGTAGGAAGAGTCTTCTGGCGACAGCCTAAGGGTTGCCTTGAAGTAGTCCAGTCTAGATATTTCCAGAAGAGAGAAGTATATCACAAGGAATTTGTTACAAGGGCTATAGAAGCCAAAGGGTAAGAAGATAAAGAAGACCCCAGATATCAGAGCCGCCGTAACACCTGTACTGTACACACACAAGCTCACATTTAGTGCTGAGCAGCTGGAGACTGCTGGAGTCACCGGCTCCTACTCCTGCCACCTCTAGAGCCACCAAAACTGCTGGGACCTACAGTCGACTGTAGCCTGAAACTACCACTTCTGGAGGCAGAAATAGCAGGATTTCTTGGCCTTCTAATCTCCCACCAGTGTTTCCCATTAGTGGAACTTACCAAGAAAACAGCTGGCAAGGATATCCAAGAAATTTCATATCCAGTCTTCTTGCTCCTGCCACACAGAGGAGGGCCCAGAAGGGCAGGAGCAGATTTGAATACTAATAGACCAAATCCAGCAAAAAAGGAGGATGTTGTCCAGGGTAGTGTCCAATGCCAAAATATGGCTCTCCCTGGATGAAGGAGGCCTGGATTCTAGAACTAGTTCTGCTACTGATATGCTGTGACCCCTCCAAGGCAGTGTTGCACAGTGGTTCAGGATGTAGCTCAGTGCCCTCATTTGCAAAGCAGGCAATAATACCTAGCTCAAAAGATTATTCGTGAGGGTTAAATGGGGTACTGCAAAGTATGTAAAACAGTGCCTGGAACAAAATAAGCATTTAACAATTGATAGCTATTGTCATTGTTACTATCATTCTAACTTCAGTTTTGCCATCTGTAGAGAAAAGAAGAGGAGGGTTGAATCACCTTTGCTTCTCTCTAACCCACCAGAGGAAAAGTAACTAACAGACTCAGACTGAGCCTCATGCTAAGCTGAATTTTGGAGATGCATAGAAAAATGAATAATATCCTCCTGTCCCTGTCATCACAGACCTCACAGTTCGATGGGAAGACAGAAAAAAATCACTATGATTCAAGGCAAAATGAGCTCAGTGATATACTAAATACAAGGAAAGTTCTAAAGGAGTACAAAAGAAGGTTTTGTAGCATAGTAGAAAGATTCACACAGACTTCACTTTTATTTTATTTTATTTTTTAATTTTAGATGGAGTTTAGCTCTTGTTGCCCAGGCTGGAGTGCAATGGCTCCATCTCGGTTCACTACAACTTTTTCTCCCGGTTCAAGCAATTCTCCTGCCTCAGCCTCCTGAGTAGCTGGGACTACAGGCACGCGCCACCACGCCAGGCTAATTTTTGTATTTTTAGTAGAGACGGGGTTTCACCATATTCATCAGGCTGGTCTTGAATTCCTGACCACAGGTGATCCCACTTTGGCCTCGCAAAGTGCTGGGATTACAGGTGTGAGCCTCCTCGCCCGGCCCGGACATCAATTTAAATCCAGTATTATCCTCTTGTGGTCTTGAGCAGTTCATTTAGTCGCCCGCGCCTCAGTTTACTTGTCTGTAAAAGTGGGGGTATTAAAAGTGCCTGCTCACAAAGTTCTTGTGAAGATTAAGTGAGCTACTGTATATAAAGGTTATCCAACAGTACCCAGCACAAAGATGCGCTCAGAAGTGATCATTATTATGATTCCAGTGCTCCACAAAAAAGACACAGGCCTGAACTAACGAAATGGAAATTGAAAGGGGGAAAGTTAGCTAAAGAGAGAGTCATTCTTCCCGGACTGCTTAATTATTGTGAATAACATTAGAGAACCAGGGAGGTACCTACTAGAGGTGCGGGCCACGAGGGGGCGCCCCAGGACCTCGGCGTCCTCGTTGCCCGTGGCAACCGGCAATCCCTGGCTCTGGCTTAGGAGGGGCTCAGCTAGAACGGCAAAATGGCCCTGAGCCCCTGGACCCCAGGGCTGGGCGCTGGCGAGAAGCTGGTGCAGGCGGCCGCCGTCTCCACCGGCCCCTCCCTGGAATTATGCACTTTCCCCTCCACCCTGGGCTCCTCCGTCGCGGTCGCGGCGCTGGAGCAGCTGTTTGTTGTGGGTGAGACGCCCCTCGGGCGCTGGAAGGGACGTCCCCTCAGAGGTGGCGCTTAGGAGGCGCTCAGCGGGAACGCTGAGCGGGGACTCTCCTCCCGGAACCAGGGCATCACTGGCCAGGGCAGAGCCTTCTCCCCGCTCCTTGGAGGCCGGGGAGAGAGAGGTGGCGGGTGGGACCAAGCGCCCAGCTCTCCTGCTCTAGTGCAGCTGGGGTGACTTCGCTCAACCCTCAATAGTGGTTGGTGACAAATCCGGGACTCTCAAGCCACTGCCCTATGCCTGCTGCCCTACCTGAGTACACACCTGCATTTAGATTATGCCTTCTATTTCAGTCCTCTTCCTGCTTTCCAAGATATAACATCCTCACACATTCTTGCATGGCAAACTGGAAAATGTTAACAAGCAATAGGAACAGGGAGTGTTTAACGCAGGCTCCTGTTTGTATTAAGTCAGAAAAATTAGATGTAAAGAGGTCTGTTTAGGAGATTCAACTACAGAAAACTTCGTACCTTGGATCGGGCCCACGGTTAAAACCTACTTCTTTCAGTTAGAAAGCTGAACCCTGTAATCAGTCACTTAAACTTAAGGTAAGACCAATTCAAGCGAAAGAGGTAGTTTCACCCGTTGGATAGGTGCAAACAACGTTTAGGCCAAAACAAAACCTTTCATTGCTATACCAGAAATCACTCCCAACTTTCTTCAAGCCATACCATGTAATTCGATTTATGTTACACATGCTGTATACTACCTTAATTATCCCGGATAGTTCTTTATTTTCCAGCCACCATCTAAATGCGCCACCGTAGCCACGATCTAATTTCCCACCAATTCACTTCGGCAAACTAATGCTTTGGAGTTGACACCTTATCGCCTG